GGTAGAAAACATTTTGCTTGCTCAAGAAATAGTTAAGCACTATCACAAGCCTAATATGAAGCCTAGATGTGCCTTGAAAATTGACTTGATGAAGGCATTTGACTCTGTGAGCTGGAAATTTCTCCTTATAGCCTTGGAAGCTCTAGGCTTTCCTACTATTTTTATCACTTGGATTAGAGCTTGTATCACTTCCCCCATGTTTTCAGTAGCTTTAAATGGAAATCTAGAGGGCTATTTCCCTGGGAAGAAAGGAATAAGACAAGGTGACCCCTTGTCCCCATACTTGTTTGTCATTTGTATGGAGGTTCTGTCACGACTTTTGAATAAAGCTGCTCAAGAAGGAAATCTACCATATCATCCTAACTGCAAAAAGACTAGCCTCACACACCTATGCTTTGCAGATGACCTACTAATTTTTACAGATGGGAGCTCAAGAGCTGTTGGGGAATTAGATTCAATTCTTAAGCAATTCTACCTGGTGACAGGTTTGAAGGTCAATTACCAGAAATCTGAAATTTTTTGTTGTGGGATGCCAAACCAGGTTATCAGGGAGTTAACTGAAACCTATGGCTTCAAAGTAGGTACTCTTCCTGTCAGGTACCTTGGAGTACCTCTAATTACTGGAAGGTTGACGAATGCAGCTTTGAAACCTCTCATCTCAAAAATAACAGACAGGATAAATTCTTGGTCTTCAAAATATTTGTCCTTCGCAGGGAGGCTACAACTCATTTCTTCAGTACTTCAAGGGATAACGAATTTCTGGTGCTCTGTATTCATCTTGCCAAAAAGGGTTATTACAGCTGTTGAGGCTAAATGCAGTGCTTTTCTATGGAAAGGTAAATCAATTGATGCAAGAGGTGCAAAAGTAAGCTGGTCTGCAGTTTGCCAGCCAAAGATGGAAGGAGGTTTAGGCATTAAACCTCTGTTGAGCTGGAATAATGCATGTATTCTGAGATTTATTTGGCTATTATTTTCCAAGGCTGGCTCAATTTGGGTAGCTTGGGTCAAGGAATACCTCCTTAAGGGGAAGAGTTTTTGGTCAATTCCGATTCCAAATGATGCTTCTTGGAGTTAGAGAAAAATTCTAAAGTTGAGATCTCTTGCCAAATATCTTGTTAAGCATATAGTTGGGACTGGGGATTCGATCTATCTATGGCATGATTTTTGGCATCCGAATGGACCTCTCATTGAAGTTTATGGTCAGAAAATTGTATATGATGCAGCCATCCCATCTCAGGCTAAGCTTTCCCAAGTGATTCAGGGTGATTTTTGGAAATGGCCTCCTGCTAGATCTCCTGCACTTCTGCAGATTCAGATTGCATTATGTGGTGTTTTGTATCCCAACCAATCTACGGCAGATTCTGTTACTTGGCTTGCCTCCACCTCAGGTTCCTTCAAAACTGGTTCTACTTGGAACTATTTGAGAGATAAAGGGACCAAAGTGCAGTGGTTTAGGCTTGTTTGGTTTTCCCATTCAATACCAAGGCATTGTTTTATCTCTTGGTTGGCAATCTTAAACAGGCTCTCCACCAAAGCTAGGCAAAAGCGTTGGACCCCTTCCATTGATGATACTTGCATGCTATGTAAGGATGCGAGTGAGTCTAGAGATCACTTGTTCTTCTCTTGTCCTTACTCAAGGCAACTCTGGAAACAAATTTCATTACTGCTGGGTGTTCCTTCAACTTGCTCTTGGCAAGATGTATTAACTTGGTTCTGTAGAAAGACCAAGCGTACAGCTTTGTACAACACACTTCTCAAGCTGGCATGGTGTGCATCAATCTATTACATTTGGACTGAGCGTAATAACAGAATTCATAGGCAAGTGTTCACATCTCCATCTGCACTTGTGGATAAAATTCAAGCAGATGTCCGTGATAGAGTTCTTGGCTTTGCTAAAGAAAAGACATCTCCCTTGTCAAAGGAGGTTGCTACAAATTGGGGGCTGGATGTTCTTTGCATATGAATTTTGTTGAAATTGTAGTATTTTAGTGTATTGTTTGATTCTTTTTGTACAAAGTATTGGTAGCAGCCTAAAATAAAGCGCTGCTTAGTGTATTGTGTTGATTTAGAAATAAATTCACATTTCACCAAAAAAGACATAGATAACCATTCAAAAAATACTATTTTTTTATCCTATTTAGAGATTTATTAACCATTTATAAATGCATTCAAATGTAACTTTTCCCGGACATGACCAAGTAAGGTTTCTTTCCAACTAAGAACCCAAATCATGGCATAACAGAACTTTAATTAAACTCAATTTAGAAATTTGCTCAGAACCAAGAAAAATTGCAACTTCCACGGACAAAGTCACAAATAATGGTGAACTTTATACAGTGAGGTCCCCCGAAATCTAATTTCCGGCCAACCAAACGGACTCTTAGTCTCCATCAATTTGCAAACTCAATTACATCCGAGACTGCCTGGAGTAATTCCAGCTCACCATGCCAATTTTTTTAGCCATCCCACCTCACCAAACAAAGGATGCATTAGTATTCCAACTTTATACACTTGGTATTTTTGATATACTACTGTTAGAAAATTAATAAAGGCCATTTACAAACTTAGAAAATAATAAAACAAAACAAAACAAAAAAAGGGAGAGACATAAAATTACAAAATTTCACATTTATTCCTAGAGCTCCACACATCAAGCAAAAATCATCTCCATTAAGGCAATGGCTCAACAGAATCTGTGAAAATGACCCATTGTAATCCGTCTATAGGTCTTTAGAAAATGGCTCACAAGTCACAAACCATCATCCACGATCCTGTGGGAGCAAGTAAGCAATTTAACAAATTCAGAAATAAAGGAGATAAAGTTCGAAATTACATGCAATTAAACCTAAAGGTGACAGTCTAGTTAGCATAGTTATCAATACCACAAATATCAATGGTTAAACACACTTTAAATATACAATTTCATGCTTTAGTCACTAAGCATTTATCAATTTCTTCTCATAGTATAGAGAATGATGTAGTTCCCAAACATGTGTGAAAGAGATAGAATCTTGCCTCTTTGAAAGCATAAAAGAAAAAATATAAATATTAACGAATTACCTCTCCGTATGAACTCTACCTAGGTGCTAGAACCTCCAAAACGCCTCATTGTGGTTTGAATTCTGAGTGCATGCCCTCCCTTTAAAATTCACAAGGACGGATGCCGCGGATCCAAGGTACGGCGGTACGGCCACTGCATCGTAGAAACACCGGTTGGCGAGTAGAACAATGACGGCCGCTGTGAAATAGTAGGAAACATAGCGCCACTTCGGTGCTCTATTTGTATCAGATCCGGAACAACGCCGTATCTATCTCCCAGTTCAACGGTAGCCACCATGGAAGAGTCAATCGGAGCCTAAAGCAGTGAGCACGTCACGGAGACAGGATCTTTCCTCCAGGCACCGGTCGACGCCGTAGAAGACCGATTCGACTCGCCACAGTGCCCGATCTGTCCTCCAGGCACCGTTCACCGCCATGGGAGCGTCAATCCAAAGAGCGACGGCGCCGGATCGGGCAAAAACGCGCCCTGAAAAAAGAGCGCTATCTAAATTTCTTGGCCCCAAACTTGGATCGGGGTGGCCGGACCGTAACTACAGCCTCAGCCGGTGCCTTCCAGCCCTTCCACCGAGAACAGCGAAAGGATGAAAGGAAATGACGTTTCGATTATTATTTTATTTTTATTATTTTTATTTTTATTTCAACCCGCAGAACGGACTCTCTTCTAGGTCCAAAGTAAAGCCCAATCTTAATACCCACAGAGGCACAGCCTCTCTCAAGTCTCACCCGTGAAGTCCAAGATATGCTAATTCACCCAGGCCCAGTACTTGCACTACGGCTCTTGTTGGCTTCTGCTTCTTCTTCTACCTTATTAGATCCTGAATTCAAGTCACTCAAATAAATTAATTTTTTTAAATATATCAAATTATTACGAGGGTGCATTCTTAAGATTCGTCAAAGAGATAAATTATAATCATTTTGGGGAAGAATAATGTATTCCCATCAGAATTCTTATTTATTACCTTTATTACAGAATATACAATCAAACCAAATACAAAATGATATCATATATACCAGCAAAGACAAAACAAAATGTGAAGCCCTTCCCCTTTTTCTGTTTACATGAGTTGTGCATCCGTGCTGTCAGCGAATTCCAGGGAAGTTGTCCCAGCTAGGGCCCTTTCCATGGTCAGCTGTGGTGTCCATGGGACATAGAGATGCTAATTGATGCATATCAAGCCCGAGATTATCGTCCGTTACTACAGAAGATTGCCCATTGGAGGCCTCCCTACCATCCCCGGTGTACCACTCATGAACTTGCATGGGAGAAGGGATAACATTGTCCTGCTTTGACAGGTCTTCATGTGCAGTTTGCATCTAGTCTGCGGTTTCTTCCTTTGGTCTCAATACTGTACATTATCAAATGGAGGAAGCATTAAGATGAAGCAAAGGGGTACTTAATAGTTCAAATCAGAACAACTACACATTAAGGACTCCTTGATTTCTTTCTCAATATACAACAGCAGTGGTATGTCCAAAAGGAGAGCTTCTCAACAAAGGCGAAAAGGGGAAGGCAAAGCTGGAGGTGGTTGAGCCGTTGGTGGCGGTGGTATTGCCAAGGTTGAAATTAAGGCTGTGGTTGTTGCCATTCTTGCAGTCGAGTTGATGCTGAAGCCGCTTAAATCGAGGAGGGGTCTAGAGGAAAGGAGGGGTTCTGTGTGAGAAGAAGCTGGAATTAGTGGTGGAGGTGGAAGGGTTGGATGCGAAGGCGGAGCAATCGAAGAGAGGGAGGGTTGAGTAGACAGAGGTGTGCGGGGAGGGGAGCGGAGAGGCGCTCGGCGGAGTTGGGCTGAGAAGCATAGGTGTGGTGGTGTGGTGTGGGCTGTTGAGAGTGGTCGGAGCTGTGCAGTGTGGGCTCTGGAGAGACGACGACGTTGGGGTGGTGGGGACGTGAAGGGTCGACGTTGTTTGGAAGGAGAAAGCGGTGGGTGCAGTTGGGATGGAGGAGATGGGTGTGGCGGGCTCCGAATGTGTTTGATAATGGGTAAAATGTTGGTTCTGCGGCGACGACGACAACTGGTGGTGGTTGAGGGGTTGGATGTCCGAAAGATAAAGGGGGAGGCCTTGGCAGTGCTGCCCCTTGACTCTGGTGTTCCAGAAATTTTTTATTTTGTTATCAGTTCTTCCCGGAAGTTGTATTAAACTATTAATTACCAAAAAAAAAAAAGTTTAAAATTGTTTTTCAAAAAATAATAAAAAAGAGCAATTAAAAATTTTGAATTCAAGCTTTTAAATTTAGAAAATGTTTTCTCCATTTTTTAGAAAATCAATTTAAAATACAAACATACCGTTTTCATTACAGGGAAAATCTGCTTGTAGTTTATTATTATTATTATTATTATTATTATTATTATTATTATTATTATTATTATTCATAATGGAGATGG